TTAGTGTGAATTGGACAAAAAGCCTAGGACGAGTTTAAAAAGTAGGGTTTCCAAAAAATTTGAATGACGGATTAATATATAAAAATAAAAACAATATATGTGGCAATTGATGCCAGAATTATTAGGAAATAAAGAAATCTCATGCTATCAATTTCAGATTCTTACAAAATTTGGTACACAACCTCAGTTCGACACTACATACAAACATGTTTATTTCTGAATAGTCGGCCCTGATTTGACATTTTTACCTGCTGCAAACTGACTAGTTGCTGGCATCAATGTTTGTTGGTTTATCCAAGTAATACTTGAAAACCACAAAAGCAACACCCCAAATTTTCATTAGCTTTTATATTTGCATCGCTTATTTGCTTAGAAATTCCTTAGATAATTGTAATCATAACGGTCTCAAGATGGTGTAGGATTACAAATTTAAGAATCTGTTTAAAATCTGCTGATCTTATGTCCTTACATAACATTACATGAAAAACTAAGGTAGAGTAAATTGAAATTGAGCGTCAGCGTCAGTTCTGGCAGGCCAGGTAGTCAAGACGCTGCTAATGCTTTGCTATCAACACTGTCCCGTCAGCTGATCAGCTCCAGCTGAGCTGCATTAGCTGATTAACTCCCCTCGTTGCTCAATGGCCAAAGCTCAAACAAGGTGCCTATTTAAAGCTCATTCACCTTGCTCATACATGCTTGCTGCTCGCTCTGCTGGTTTGCTGCTCGCTCTGCTGGTTTGCTGCTCGCTCTGCTGGTTTGCTGCTCGCTCTGCTGGTTGCTGCTCGCTCTGCTGGTTTGCTGCTCGCTCTGCTGGTTTGCTGCTCGCTCTGCTGGTTTGCTGCTCGCTCTGCTGGTTGCTGCTCGCTCTGCTGGCTCGCTGCTCGCTTCTGCTGCCCGCCACCTCCCCAGCTCCTCCTTATGCATAACGTGGCATTTGCTATGTCATGTTGCCTGCTCTGTTCACGGGGGGATATTTTAGCTCTCACAGTCTTAAACCGTGTGAGCGTTCCCTAATGCTGCTGCTGCTGTCCTCTGACTCTCTGCTATTTCATGGTGCTCATGAAAGGTCAGAGGACTCCCTGAACAGAGCCATACCGCCAAATTTTAATTCAGGAACATCAACTTGTTTGCAATCTATTCAATAAAATTCTTAAATTATATTTTTTGTCTGTGTGTTCTTGACTTAATGGACCTGACAGAATTTAGCATTTAAAGCTGCAGTCCGCAGTTTTTCCTCTTTGTCGCCATCTCTGTTCGAAATCTGCAATTACAGTCATTCGCGGAATTATCAACTTTACATGAGTTGTACCTCGGCACGGCACAGCGCGGATGAATCCAATGTTTTGAGGAGAGTGTGCGGCTGTCAGTCACCGCGCCGGTGTGGATACTGGCATTCAGAATCACAGATTCTACTTTTTGGAAGTATGACCAACATAAGAATTTTCACCCTAAAATGTCATCTGAACAAGTAAGTAACATCCACTTTTGTTCTTCTGACCAACTAATGGAAAAAAACATTGCAGTAAATCGCGCTGATTAAATCAATCGCTTATCATATCACGTCAAACCGTGCAAATTATACTTTGTTCTCAAATTGTTAATGTTAACAACATCAGCATTGCGTGACTACATTTAAAGCCCTTCAGATATTTATCGTTGTTTTCGCATGCCCGGTTGCAGTCTCTTTTTCCAAACTCTCAGTCCAAAGTCTTTTGCATTTTACAACGGGTGAATCTCCAGTTGTCACTGGTGATTGTAGTTTGAACCTTTCTGGATCCGCCATCAAATTAATAAGTTTAATGATATCAAGTGCTGTGAGAAAAGGCTATAAATCTCCACCTCCAACATCCTCACTCGCAATATAGCCGCCGAGGCACCTTCTTTATGTGTACAGATGTGACGTAATGACGCAAAGACATGCTTAGACTTACCTGCGGAAATCCACCAGTACCACTGGAATTAAAAACTTTATTACAAGCTTACCGTTTTGAATCGAGCTAAGGCAAGCAGATAGTTTTAAACACTAGCTGGTTATGTACTTGCTCTAAAAGCTGTTAAGCATGAGATTCCTGCCAGTCCTGTTCTCTCTATTGTAAGTTAAATGAATCAGATTACTGAGATTCTTTGTCTTTAATGGCTCTGGGAGCCCCTGGCACAGTCGTTAAAGAGTTAGGCTGATTGGATTATCATCAATGTATTTGAATGAGACTGTCATGCTGATGAGATCAGGACTGGGGAAATAGGCTGACTCCTGTACTTCATTTACCTGCCACCACTATGTAATCCCACCCCATTGAAATGTATATAAACTACAATGTATACTGCTTTATTTAGACTTGATGACTGCAGCTACCGACAGCTTGTGTTCTCAATAAAGAATCCTGCTGAAGATACAACCAAGTCTCCTGGTCTCTGCTTCGTCGAAGGAAAAGTTTCCAACAATGGCATGTGCCAAATTTCATGCAAATCGGATTAAAAAAGTAGGGGTTTTTTTGGGGGTATTTTGCTTCTAGCCTTTACGGTTCCAAAGTTATGATTTAAAATATAGATAGCGGTGCACATTTGCGACCATCCTGCCAAGTTTGGGGTCTCTATCATTCGGTCGCTGACTCTCATACACTTTTAGGGCAGAAAAATAGAAGAAAAACAGATCAAACACAGTGCTTACATGGAAACCTAATTATTATGTAGCTAACATCTGCCATGTTTGATGAAGTGATCATCATTTTTAAAAAAGCCTCATCACACTAACAGATTGTGAAGTGAGTGAGATTAATTGAGTCAAACTGATAGACTGATGTTATATTTATGATGACAGACTAAAGTGGTAAAGACAGGATCTGCTTCTGTGGTTACGGTTGGCTCTGGCACTGTGGGACATTATTGTAGGAGGCTTTATGGTTAAGTATTTGGGGTGCTGACATAAAGGTTTATATGTTCCCAAGTAGGTTTAACGCATTGCAACTGAAAAGGTAACCTCAGATTGCTCAGAGAGGATTATAATAACTGCAAATTGGCTGCTTTGTAAGCTATATATCCTGTGCTTAGAAAAAGTTGTGTGCAGGCACATAAAAATACATTTATGGTCCATGACAAATGGGTAAACAGACAGTATCCCAAAGTTGGGACAAGAAAAAATCCTTTCTTTTTTGGAGAAAAGTAAATAACATTGTTTACTTCTATTTTAACATCTTTTATTTTATGGTCTTTTTTTTTCTTTTTTTTGCCAACACATCTGTGCATTGACTCAAAGTTTTGGTATTTTCTCTCTGTTCTCTAAAACAGTGTATAATATAGTTGTCGGTTTTATGGTTTACTGGTATTAACACCTGCAGCTTGACTGGACTCATCACTCATGCTTTTATGTTATAGTAATTTTGTCACACAATCCGGATGCCAAATATGCAGTTCAAATTGTTGCCTTTTTAAAACATCTTACATCATACAACGAAGCTGTCAGCACTATTAATCTAAAACAGAAATAAACCCCTGACTGACTCAGGTGGGCTTTAAGAAGTGCAAATTCTGCTGTCGCCCAGAGAAAATGTAATGTTAGTTTTGATTAATTAAACATTTCCTTCACAATATAAAATATGAAAAACTGGTAGGTTTAAAAACTTGATATCCAACATTAAACTATTTTTAGGCATTACATGGCATGTATTTAAGCCATTCAGGGTCTCTTATAGGCATCGGCGAACTAGAGAGCTGCTAGGGCACCACCAACTGAAGGGGGCGCCAATGAGCGCCTCAATGTCCCTGTTAACATAACGACACTGCATTTTAGCACATTTTCACTATGTGCTAAGTAAGTACTTTAAGCAGCTGAATATTAGCATAAATAGATTAATTTTGTAAAATGTTATTAGAAAGATGGCGTTCAGAAGTCCAAATATTTAGTGTAGCCTATATTGAAATTCTATTTAACAAACGAATGACGGCAACAGCTTAACGGACGTGTTGGTGGGATTGTGGGGATAGAGAAATGGTCAACTAGAAGTCTATAGAAACTAAAGTGGAAAAAAAAATTAACAATCAATGAATTTAGATTTGTATATTGAGAACTTGTATCTTTGAAAAATTCATACTATGGCAATCAATATGGATGTGCGACTGCAGTGAACAGTAAACGGAAAAATTAACCTCTTCTCAAACCCTTTGAAATTTATGAGTGTTTTGCAACAGGAGCTAAACCGAGGGACGTGATTTATGATTTATGAACACACTGTTTATATATGTGAACTAGAGCGCACCAGTAGTTTGTCTCAGTGTGCAGCAGTATGGCTGGAAGGTGATGTCATCCGAACACTGAAACATCTGATCCATTGTGATGTGGAAAATTGGTTTACAGGAAAGACAACCTGCTCAGTTCACAGAATCTCTGCTTATAAGTGTCAGATGTTACATTCATGTCTGTTATCATGTTTCTGTAGTTCAAATGGTGGAACATAGTACTAGCAATTTCAAGGTCATGGAGTTTATTTCCAGGAAACGTATGCACTGTAAACTAAAGTGCTTGTTAAATGAAGACATTTAAATGTATTCCACTGTTCTCATTTAATTTCTTATGATCTTAAAATATTCTCTGGAGGTCTGGCCTTCATAGCAAGGTAGATTTTCATAGAGCTGTCCATTACATCTCTTGCATTAAAGGGATAACCCACCCCTAAAAAGATAGTCCACCCCCTCAAGTCACTCCAAAACCTTCTTACTTCTGTATTTTTTTTTTGTCAATGGGAACTGAAACTGTTCTTTAACAGTTCTTCAAAATATATTATTTTTTCCTGCTATGGTTTTCTGTTATAGCTTCTCTATTATGGATGTCCTCTCCAGGTCAAATAAAACATAAAACAATGATTTTTTGAATACATTTATTTGGGGTGAATAAACAGTTTTGTGAAACAAAGGGCATATTATGTTTGATTTTTTTCAATTATAAAACTTGTGGATACCAAAAGTTCTTTAAGCATCATTTAAAGTCTTTCAAAATGTGCTCTCTTTACATCAACTGTTTACTATACATGAATGAGAAACAAAACCATATTTACATGTGATACATTGTTAGAATGACTCTAAATACGCTGAGAAATATAGATGGCAGCTTTACAGCCAACCTGTATTGCTGTTTTCAAAAGAAAGTATCCTGGCACCTAAAGAGGGAAAAACTAATTAATAAAATACTTGACATGAAAAAAACACTGCAAACCAGTGTAACATGTACATTTCACATGAAAATACAAAACTCACCGACTCAGCGTCATGCTCCAATCCTGTGTCATGATGTTCTATTTCATCATCGCGGAATTCTTTAATAATCTGATTGAATTAAAAACATTTAGTTTATGTTTTAGTGTGTATTTTAGATATCCACCTTTTTGCATTTTGCTAAAAAAAAAAATTTAAACAAGATGAAGTCACCAGATGCACAAGTATTCTAAGTGAAGCCCAAACACACATGCTTTATGCGTTTTTTTGATGAATAAAATATCACAGAAAGTTTAAATTGAACGAAGGTTAGTGTCATAAAGAACGACAAGTCTGGTCAAACAATTGCATTTTTTGAGATTACTGGCTGATTTTGGGAACAGAATGAACAAAACTCCATTAACTAGCCACTCTGGTTTCTTAGAATCATATTACATAGTCCAACACAACACCTTTTTACCATAGTTAAAGGGATTTGCAAAAAAAAAGGAGGTTTGTGTGTGTCCGAAGGTTCAATCTTTAAAGCTTGATGGACAAAATGACAGATAGCAACAGTGCAGCGATTTGATTGGCTATTTGGACGGTCAGTCATCTCAATATAGCATTGCAGCGATATACTGTTAGCGAACATCCCGGCACTGCCTACACAGCTGAGAGCGGCATTTAGATGAATATCTAAATGAGTGCTGCGTATGGAAGCTTGTTTCTGCCACAGAATAAAAAATTAAAATAAATTTTTTCCACAATTGCGAGTTTACATCTCTAAATTCTGACTTCTCAACTCTGACTTTATAACACGCAATTGGGAGTTTATATCTCGCAATTCTGACTTTATATCTAGCTTTTTCCACCACAGAATAAAACATTTTAAAAGATAATTGCAACTTTTTATCTCACAATTGGGATGTAAACTTAAAAGTCGCAATTATCTTTTAAAATGTTTTATTCTGTGGTGGAAAAAAGCTTCCATAGCTGCGCGCTTTCCACTCAATAACAAAATAAACACCACAAAAATGGCAGTGGTGAGAAAACTGCAGTTAAGAAAGCATCTGATTCATAGCGACGTGGATATGTTTGTACAAGCTCTGTAATTCGGTAACACAGCTTTACAGTGTTAAACATGTACAAAATTTCAATGATGAATTCAATTAGAAGTACACTCCAATTTCTACTATAAAGCGGCTCTCCAGTGTGTTCATGTTATTACTGTCTGACCTTGACGGACTGAATAGAATGAATGAACTAGTGATGGGTCGGTCATGAATGATTCGTTCACTTCATTTTGAACGAATCTTTAATATGACTTGGGACTAGCGAGTTGTCTCAGAGAGTGATTCGTTCATTTTGTGTTGACCGTGCATGCGCAACATCCTATGGGTTCTGTACTGGAAACAGAAATGATTAGTTCATCTCTCGACTCTTCGGGTTCGGGTCCGAGTCTTTCATTCTTCCTGTCAGTCCCATTGAGGCTATGCTGTCAGTACCGGAAAGAGAAATGATTAGTTCACCTCTCGAGTCTTCGGGTCTGATTCTTCTGAGTCTTCCGTTCTTTTGTCAGAACGAATGACTCGAACCCGAAGACTCAAAAGATGCACTAATCAATTCTGTATCCGGTACCGACTGCATAGCTCAGCCTATATGGGGCTGTCACGTGATGAACGAATGACTCGAACCCGAAGTCGATAGACTCGTGAACTAATCAACTCTGTATCCGGTACTATAGACTGCATAGCTCAGTTTATGAGGATGTCACAGGAAGAACGAACAGCTTCGGTAGGTGAGGTAAACAAACAGACTGCATAGCCTGAAGACCAAGATAAAATTTGGCCTTTTCCTTGCATTGCAAATTTTTTTCTTATTCTAAATGCGATCAACATTTGATGTGTTTGGGGAATTTGGCTAACATGTAACATTTTAAATATATTCTGCTGAAATGAAAGAAATGACTCGAAAAAAGATTCGTTCATTTTGACGAACGAGATTCAAAGATCCGAGTCAGTAAAATTATCCGAACTTCCCACTACTACAATGAACTGCGTCAAAGAAGGCGGAGCCCTAGAGCACACCCACCTTATTATGTAATCGCCATTGACCAATGGTAGTTTGAAGGCATTTACCAGCCGGAGTGAACTTTTACAGAAAGTTTCTAACTCCCGAAACAAACTCCAAACAAACTTCATTTTGGCATGATTGTGCAAGCACAGGACTGGTAAAAGCACACACATTACCTGTAATAACTCTGTATATCTCTCTGGATCAGTCTCCATAAGTGTTCGGATTTGGCTGTTGTAGTGCTCTGAGATGCTCTCCTCTACTGCAACAGTGCAGGCCATGGCTCCTTCCTTACCCAGAAGAGCAGTACACGCCCCTGAAACCACGGAGGTAAGAGTAAATTATTACAAGCTACAGTGCAAAACCAAGTAAATAACCATGCATCCATAAGAACGTACCTAATGCAAAACCAGCGATATTCCATAACGGCAACAATAATGTTGGTCGAACCCGATGCTCGCCCAGGATCTCGTTAAACTTTTCCAAATGTATTTTCTCTTGGTCCCACATATGCTGCAGATGTGAAAAGCACATTTACATCAGTTATTCCATTAAACTTGGCATATGTGCATTTAAAGTCATTTGAATGACGTTCAGTACTTGGATTAGAGGCCCTGACTGAGTTCTTCCGAGAACTGCCATCTGCCCAGCGTAGATGCGATTGGCTCCGTACTCTCCTGCATGGTCAACCCTCAACATACTGTCCAGCATGGCTTTCTCCTCTTCGTCACGTGGTGGAGGAAGGACGCTGTATCTTCTACATAACACGGAGCCATTTACTGCACACATACAAACAAAGAAATTCACAAAAGGTTGGACACGCCTTCTCACTGTTTTTTATTACTATTTCCACATTTCTAAATAACAGTAATCACTTCACAAACTATGATGCAGCAAAAATGAAAATATGGGAATTTCTGTAGTAGTATAGTGACCATAATGTACAGTCTGGTGCATCCAAGACTTTTTTAGAAGCCCCCCTGTTTTTTATTAAATAGCCTATCTATGTATGATAAACTATTATATAACATAACATGATATAGCCTAACACAATGAGATTTTTGTCCTGTTCCACATCAAAATATATTTTACCTTCTCAGAATTGTTTTTATTATACAACAATTGATTGAAATTATATTCAATTAAGTGATAAAAACGAAATATTTTTTATATATTATATCATTTTAGTTAAAAAAAAGAAAAAACCTGTTTCAGGCCTTATTTTGAACCCAGTTAGTAAATTTATATTCAGGACATAAGGAGGACAATAATAATGTGGACACAGTATCATCATTCACATATCTGCATTAGAAAAACTTTGTCCTTATAATGTGCAAGTTTCTGAAATATTAAGATGATTAAGATGAACAACACAATTTCTAAAATAAAAAGTATATCATTTAAATTACGAGTTTTGATGGCCTCCCCCCCCACCCCACACCCCACCCCCCACCCCACACCCCACACCCCACTGTTCTTATTACCAGGTTAAGGCCATCACTAAAACTAATCATTTCAACAGTATTACACCTGAAGTTCGAGGAATTGTTTTCTTGACATCAGTGTGTGATCCAGCTGTCATGAGCTCACACATACATGCACATACCTCTGTTTACTGCGCGACAGTTCCTTACGCTTGATGGACAGAAAGCAAGACTAAGGTCAGGTCTCAAAGCACACTTCGCGGCTCTCTGCATGTCTAGAAATGATACGATTATATATCGCACTGTAAAGAGAAATATTAGCACTGAAGGTTGTGGCGCTTTTAAGTGACGTCATCGCGTCGCCACTTGCTCGTGCATGCTGGTGGAAAGGGCACATAATATGTCAGAGAAAATGGTTTGTGGAAACAAACCATAACAAACAAAGAAAACTGTTTGTAAAGAATATGTATCACAAAATGTTCCTTCTTGTGTATTTTAATACGTTTTTCAACATTTCACGGAATGGCCCATAGGTGGCACTCACACACAAATTAGTCCAACTATACAGAAAACATTTGTCTATTTTGTTTTGTGTACATCCAGCACGAGACATTTTTTTCCAACTGACTGGGTAGGCCTATAGCCTAGTAGTGAGTGTAAAAATGTCCTATCTGTTATTCCTATTTTTGCAATTCTCAGTGCTGCATTTCAGTGGCATAGACATAGACAATTGCCCTTTACATTTAGTTTCAACTTCGGGTCCTTGTGTATTTCACCCTTTGTAATTAGTGGAACAGTCTAGTAATCCAGTAGGCCTACATAAATGTTCATTACACAAAGTCATTTTCATGGCGTGTAAATTAAATGTAGGCGTCCAGTTTACAAGTGTAGAATGTGATTTTTCACCCAAGTCGCCGTCGGCCAGTAAATTCCATGGCTTCTGTAGCTAGCCTATGTCTTAGATTAAGGCATACTGCACATATTTCACTGCAGTGATAAAAATGGAGCATGGCCATCTGAAGAAAGAAGTTGCTGACTGCTATGGAACTGCGACTAGCAGGTAAACATTGAACTGTAGGTAGAAGTCGGCCTGTAAAGTCAATGCTATGAGTTAGTTGTGGGAATCTGATGCTAGATCAACATGACAAGACAATTTCATCTTTAAACAGCCTTTGGGATATGATGTAATGTAAAAAAAGAAAAAAAAAGAGGGAGATCAAACAATCGAGAAACCGCAGGATCTGAACTTTAAAAGTGAATAGAGCAGCCTTAGGGAAAAAAAGTATTACAATGTTAACACTTATATTTCAAATTAGTCATTTAAACAAGATATGTAAATTAAGATATCCATCATTTTGCGGTCTAGCCTAATATAGAATAATAGCGCTAGCAGAGGTTTGTGGTTGGAGCTATAGCATTTAAATTAAGCACCACAACTATATATTTTATGTTATTGGTATTTGACATCTTCAGCTTAGTTGTTAATGGGTTCTTGTCTATCTATAAAAGTCCTGCTGATGTTATTACCCAGAAAAATTGTTTATAAAAGCAATAGGCCTAAGTGTCTGTAGGCATGTCCACAAGTGTTGAAAGAAATAATGTGTTCACCTCTGTTCCAAGGCTCTGGTCAGACAGCCTGAGACATAGCTGTGGTGGAGTAATGTCTAAGTGCTTCAGGCCAGATTTAGTTTATTTGTTTGCACTGATGAGGGAGACGTGACAACTCTTGCCTTGATGTACTGTATGTCGAGGGCCATCTGATTTTGGACATAGTGGCACATTAAGAGTGTAGTAATAATTTTTATAAGTAGCTCACAATGCAATCAGAGAAGAAATCTCTCTATATTTTGCACATCCCTTTTATGTTGCCAAAGTTCAAGCATGGTGACCAATAGTTGCTATTCATTTGAAGGTTCTTACTTTTTTTCTTATAATGAAATACTATACAGTTACTATTACTAATACAATTATATAAAAAAAAATAGGTCAATGGGTTGTTGCCAATTAATGCAAAATGCACAAAAGAATAAAATGTACTTTGAATGCTTTTGGTTGAATGACAATTTTCAGTTGCTCAATATGTTGAGGTATAACCTCTGGAATCTTCTTGATTGTTTTTGAGGGAGCGATATGTGCAATTGTCTTACCAGATATTTAAATGGAAGAATGTTTTAATAGTTTCAACATCGCCTAGTGTCGTATCACTTTGTTACTAAAGGAGTTTGTAGCACTGTTTTTATGTGAATATTATTGATTGGCCACTATTCTGTTTATACAACCCCTGTTTAGAACACAGCTTGAGACCTGGAGCATGACGATGACACTAAGAAGGATTGGTCCCACTTTATATTAGTATTTATTATATTAGGTGTTAAAAATTATTGGTAGCCTACAATATTACTTTGTTCATGTTTTATTGCAAAACACTTTTGGTGTTATTGAGGTGGGAAGGGTCAACAGTGTAATTATAGATGTACTTAAATAAATTAATTACAGATGTAATTACATGCAGACATTTTTTTAAATACAAGTACAATGTAAAAACATGTACATGCACAATAAGTGCATTGTATTAAATTATTAAATGTTAGTCCATGTTAAAGACACTTAATATAAAGTGGGTTTGAAGGATTTAAAATCACCTGCGTAGCTCAGCAGACTCGAGGGAAAAACTGGTGCATATAATAGTCTTGTGGTCAGGAACTGGGTTACTTGCTTGTGCCTGTTATGCAACACTGGTGCAAGTCTAAAAATTGGCTCAACACTTTTTATTTTATAGTTGCTCAGTGGTATCCCCCTAGAAAAGACAAACCAGCTCATAAAAGCAACGACAACAGCACAAGAATCAAATTCAGATTTCAATATGCATTGTCTCAGTTGACTCACACCTCTTTTTATAGTCCGCTATTTAAGCAGGGAGAGGAGAAGCTTTACCGCCAATATCGGAGAGTTTGCCCTCAGAAATGTTTCTTCTCAACTGCAGACCTTGTTAAACCACTCAAAAACAGGCTGCTCTTGCAGACTGTGTGAATTCAGCAGGCCGATGTAAGCTAATAGATGTCGCTGCGTCTGTCTGTGCTTTATTAACAAGTCGACTACTGTAGGGGAAAGTGTCTGGGGCTTGTCCAGCATGTTTTGCATGTGCACCTGGCTGTGGGGTGCATGCTTTCATGTCCAGACAAACCTCCCTGTGGCTGGCTGGGATGAATCAGAATTCACAACGAGCCGGCAAACAAGCAATAGTCTGCATATCACGGACAAAATAATATACAAACGTTATTACTAATGTTTAATTTTGACGAGATGATTCTGCAGATGTTGGGAAAGATGCATTTAAAGGCCCCCTGAAATAAAAATGTAAGTTTTTTAGCTTTTAGTATGAATATGTTAGCCTTAAGGTTATGAATAAGCTGGTGTGTTTCAAAACAACGACAAAATTCGCATTTAGGAGATATAAGGGTTTAACACTTACAGTCTCTCACTTCCGCTAAAATGGATCACAGATTTCTGTCAGGACCACTATCGTCAAATACGATTGACATTTAGCATACAGTTTGGATTGGCGGTATGGTTCCGTTCTGAGCAATAACCCCCCTTAGGGTAAACAGAACAGAACCAACATGAATGTATGCAGATATCAATAATTCAAGATTTTATACAACATAATTCGAGAATTTATTCTGATTCAAGGGGAATCAGAATTCCAAATCCTGACTGGGTGAGAGGAGGAGCTGGGGATGGAGGAGGGTAATTAGCTCCTGAGAAACGCGATAGCTGCTGATAATACTGAAGGAGCTTATATGTATACAGTGTAGGGCTGTTTTCGACTAAGGATTTTCATGGTCGAATCTGATTCGTTAGATTTTGCCGTAGTCGACTGATAGTCGAGCTTTTTTTTTTTTTTTTTTTTTTTTTTTTTTTTTTTTTTTTTTTTTTTTTTTTTTTTTTTTTTTTATACAGGATGAACAAATAAAGCAAAAACAATATAAACAGAAGGGAGGAGAGGGAATTATGCATAAATACATCGTAGTTGTATGCTACATGGCTTAGACAGCTTTATACTTATACAACTTTGTCACAATATCCACGCATATTCTCAAATATAAATCATTGTATACCTGCATACCTAAAATTATATGTATGCACTAACCCCCCTATAAAAAATAAATAATAAATAAATAAATAAATAAAAAAGAATAAATAAAAGAAAGAAAGAAAGAAAGAAAAGGAAACACTGAACAACAAAGCCAAACTGGTGAGGTTAACCATTCTGCCATTACTGTTTACTTAGCTAAAGATGTCTTTACATTCTTTATATATCAACCACTTTTCCCAGTCCCTTTTAAAAGCATCTTTTTTCATCTTTAAAATATATGTAAGTTCTTCCATAACCATGATTTCTTCAATAATTCCAAACCATTGTTTACACTTCAAAGTAGTATCTTTAAGCCAGTTCCTAGTTATAGTTTTTTTGCAAGCCGCAAGAAGGATCTTACATAAGTATTGATCACTTTTAGGGACCATGCCTTTAATATTTCCCATTAGTAGAAACATAGAGGTTCTAGGTATTTTAAATCCAAACACTTCCGACATAACTACCTGCACATCGTCCGAAAAGGACTGGATTTTCTCACAGCTCCAAAAAATGTGTGTGTGATCCGCTTCTAACTGTCCACACTGCCTCCAGCAAGCTTGTTGTCCGGAGACTTGTTTGTTTCTGATCTTAGGTGTTATAAAGAAGCGGATAAGGCACTTCCAGCAAAACTCCCTCCATATTTGTGAACTGGTAGTAGTTTGGTGTATTGACCACAAGTCATACCAATCCGTTTCTGTTATTTCAATCTTTAGTTCTTTATCCCATTTCAATTTTATATATAATGTAGAGGACGGGCCGCTACACATCAACACTTCATACAAATAAGAAATTATTCTGGGTAGTGTATGCTCATGCTCATAGGCGTCCATCATCATTTTAGTAAGGGGATGGATATCATTTACTTTAACTTTCCTTTTTTTGTTGTAGTAGTCCCTTAACTGGAAGTATCTAAATAAATCCTGATTTCTTATTCCAAAGTTCTCCTTTATGTCCTGGAAACTTCTAATTTCACCCTCTGTAATTACACAGCACAATGCTGTTATTCCCCTATCCCTCCACTGTTGAAATATTGGGTCATCCCTTCCTGACTTAAATTCCTCATCCTGAGTAATCCACCTAAGTATTCCAATTTCTTTCTCCAATTTGAATTGTTTAACAATAGAATGCCATACCTTCAATGAGAATGTTGTTATTGGGTCCAGTTTGTCTTTAATATAACCATGGATTTTACTCTCCCCTATAAGTGACTGAACTTGAAGATCT